CGGGGAGCATCTGGCCCCCAAAAGCCAGGCGGGGGGAGTGGCTGGTCCCCCCCAACCCTAGCTCCGCCCCGCCCTACCCAGGTTTTGCGTGCGACCACAGGGCTCCCAAAGCCAATCGCGCTCCGCCTCCCAGTCGCTCCCCCGCCCCGCGAGGCTTCCCTCCAGCGCCCAGCCGGAAATTCACAAAATACTGGACATTGCACGTGTCCGGTATTTTCTAAATTTTTCTACCAACAGATGGTGCAAATACCGGACTGTCCGGTAGAAAACCGGACACCTGGCAACCCTAGGCCTCTGGAGTGGCTGGGAGGAAGCTAATCCCAGCCTGTTTGCACCCAACCCTGCAGACCCCAGGCAGGGGCCCTTAGCACCCTCTTCATATGGTGCCCCCCACCCTCTAGGTCCTGCCCCCAGGGAGTGTAGAGTTGGTCTGTCCCCTGCTGAGACACCTCTCTGGCGGGGTCCCCGAAAGCCCCTACAGCCAGTTTCCCTGGGCTCTGGTGCTCAAAATGCATTCTTACGGCTTAACCCCTTCCTGCCTATGTTATCACCAGGAGACAGGAGGCAGCGGGGTTCTGTGGGTGGCCAGCAGTAGCGTGGAGGTGTGAGCTGCCTTTCTGCACTGTGCGGGCTGCTTCTAGCCATGAGGGACAGGAGGGTGGCAGGGGGGGGGGGGGGGGGGGGGGGGGGAAGAGAGGTACAGGTTGTGTCATCCCTACTCCTACCCCCACCCTCTTCAGCTGGAAGCAGCTCCTATCCCTTCTCTCCCACAGTGTGCTGAAAGGCAGCTAACGCCTCCCAACCTGCCATGTTCCGGTATGAACCCTGACAGAAATCTGGGGGCCTGTGGCCCTGTGTGCCCCCCACATGTTGCTGTGAGAAGATGTGGTGACAGGTACCAAGATTGTGTCATCCCTACTCCTACCCCCACCCTCTTCAGCTGGAAGCAGCTCCTATCCCTTCTCTCCCACAGTGTGCTGAAAGGCAGCTAACGCCTCCCAACCTGCCATGTTCCGGTATGAACCCTGACAGAAATCTGGGGGCCTGTGGCCCTGTGTGCCCCCCACATGTTGCTGTGAGAAGATGTGGTGACAGGTACCAAGACAGGCCCAGCCAGGCATGGAGAGTACTGAATAGGAAGGGTTGGGCCAGGTCAGTCAGTGACCCCCATCTCCATGCGAGAGAGGTGCCTGGGGAGTGTGTGTGTATGTGTGTGTGTGCACGTGTGTGTGCACGTGTGTGTGCGCGTTGTGGAAATATGAAAGATGAGGTAATGAACAGTATTTTTGGGAGGGGGGCTGAGTCAGCTTGATGTTAATTTGAATGTCTGTGCTGCCTAGTTCTGATTGATTGCCCTTGAACTTGCTTGAATACAAGTAATTTTACCAGGTGCCCCATATTCAGTATAGGGAAATATGGTCACCCTAGTAATACAGGACTGTCAGGGGCCCCAGTATCAGAGTCCCATTGCAGGCAATCTCTGCCTTAAAGAGAACAGGGCTGGTCGGGGGCAGCGGGGCTGGCTGGGGGGATTCCCTACCACTCTGGCCTCCCCCCACATAGTTGTGTACTGCCTGGCTAGTAGACATGCTCACACAGCATGACTGTGCCTTCCAGCCAGTAGTTCACAACTACGTACTGATACTTCTAATAATAATAACACTTCCCTAATTAGAAAATACCAGATATTTTATATGTCCGGTATTTTCTCAATTTGTTTCCCAGACAGAACCCTCAAATACCAGACTGTCCAGTTCAAAACCGGACATCTGGCAACCCTAGTTTTAAATAGGAGTGTAGACATATCCTCAGAGGCCTTGCTCTGCCCGGGTATGTCTACACTACAAAGTTAATCCGAACTAACAGCCATTAGTTCAAATTAACTTTGATAGGCGCTACACATACAAACCACTAGTTCAAACTTAATTCGAACTAGCGGAGCGCTTAATTCGAACTAGGTAAACCTCATTCTACGAGGACTAAGCCTAGTTCGAATTAACTAGTTCTAATTAAGGGCTGTGTAGCCCCTTAATTCGAACTAGTGGGAGGCTAGCCCTCCCCAGCTTTCCCCGGTGGGCACTCTGGGCACCACCAGGGAAACTCGTCTGCCTCCCTCCCGGCCCCGGACCCCTTAAAGGGGCACTGGCTGGTTACGGTGCCCGTGCCAGGTGCATGCCTGCCAGCACCCAGCCAGCAGACCCTGCACCTGGCACAGCACGAGTCGGCCACCCGCTGCCACCCAGCCCTCCCCCTCCTCCCGG